GCCTTCAATTCACAAACCGAAACTAAAACATGAACGGATCTTTCTACGCTGAACAGATATAAACACAAATAAGGCAATTTAATTTAGAATTTCTCCTTAATTACTAATCAAGCATAATTAATGATAGATTAACGCTAATCAGGGATCGGGGTTGTTAGGGTGGGCAACGGTTTATCCGAACCGCTCAAACCGTCCAACCCGCATATAAATCGGCAGTTTCGCAAACATAATGCGGCGGATGCGGTTTGAAATATGACAAATTTGCGGGTTGCGGGCGGCTCACGGGTTAAACCCGCAACCCGCAAAACCGCCCACTTTAATTATTATTATTATTATTTTTTTATATACCAACTTTGTAACTTTAACAGGAGCATCATTATGTTCTTTATGACACTAGGATCCTTATTTTTAAGTATTTCTCAACTTTCTTAATGTCGTAGAATTATCAAGTTCTAAACTTGGTTTCTTATATGATTTTCATTGATGACTCATTCACTTTTTCCTAATAAAATTTTTCTTCTGGTGGTCGATGAAGCTTCTAGTTTGATTATTGATTACTGAACTGGCAATTCTAATTGAGTACAACCTTTAATGCATTGATATATATTTTTTTCATGGCAAAAATGCTAGTGATATTCAATTTTTATTTGTAAACTCATCAGAAAATTGTTGTTAAATGATCACAAATATATGAAATGAATCTAATGCCTAAATTTGATGGGAAAAAAAAACTTAAAAATTAATTTTTAAAGAAAAAAGTGTAAACCGCAAACTGCCTACAACCGCCCGCAAATCTACAAACCCTATCCGCACAAACCGTAAACTGCACTGCGGGCAGTTGCGGGTTGACTTTTTCCCAAACCACATAAATGCGGACGGGTCAAAACCGAACCACAAACTGCACAAAACCAATCCGCGAACACCCCTAGTTGTTACAGTCTTTCCCCCCTTAAAGAGTTTAGTCCTCCAGACTCAAGTTACCTTCGTTTTGGAAGAACATTGGGTCCAACGAAAACAAATCCGGATATCTCTTCATCATCTCTTTTTCTGTTTCCCGTGTAGCATAAGTTCCTCCACGATTCTGCCAATCAACTTTTACCAGTGGTATTTCTTTGTTCCTCAATCTTTTGATCCGGCGGTTCACAATCTGAATAGGCCTTTCTTCGTAAGTATAATCATCTTTCAAGAGCACATGCGTTGGTTCAATGACATGGAGTGGATCTCTCAAATACTCCCAAAGCATAGAGACATGAAAAACGTTGTGCATATGTTCCATTACTAGAGGTAAGGCCACTCGATAGGTTATTGAATTGATTTTTTCAAGGATTTCATATGGCCCAACATACCTTGGCACCAACTTACCCTTTATACCAAACCGAGTTTGACCCTTCATATGGGTCACTTTTATGAACACATGGTCCCCAACTTCGTATTCTCTATCTCTTCTTTGAACATCGGCATAGCTCTTTTGGCGGCTTTGTGCGGTTTTCAACCTTTGCTGAATTAATTTCACATTTTCGGTGATTTCTTGCACAAGTTCCGGTCCTAACAGTGATCTATCGCCTACCTCGGCCCAACATATCGAAGATCGGCAATTTTCTTCCATACAAAGCTTCATAAGGAGCCATCCCAATGCTTGAATGGTAGCTGTTGTTATATACAAACTCAGCTAATGGAAAACAAGTTTCCCAACTTCCTTGGAAATCTAACACACACATTCTGAGCATATCTTCTAAGGTTTGATTGGTTCATTCAGTTTGACCAACTGTCTGTGGTTGATAGGCGCTACTCAACCTCAGCTCTGTCCCCAAAGCCTGTTGCAAACTCTGCCAAAATCTTGACACAAACTTTGAATCCCTGTCAGATAAAGTAGATATTGGCACCCTATGCAATCTCACAATCTCATTCATATAAATATTGGCCAATTTGTCAACATTGTAAATAAATTTAACAGGTAGAAAATTGGCAAACTTAGTTAAACGATCCACAATGACCCAAATAGAATCCATACCTCGGGAGGAACGAGGCAATCCCATAATGAAGTCCATGGTAATGTGCTCCCATTTTCATTCCGGTATTGGAAGTGGTTGTAGCAAACCAGCGGGTCGTTGATGTTCGGCTTGAACTTGTTAGTAATGTAAACATCTAGCCACAAAATCTGCAATGCACTTTTTCATTCCAGGCCACCAAAAATTCTGTCTCAAATCATGATACATCTTTGTGTTCCCCGGATGCATAGCAAATTTGGTGCTGTGAGCTTTGGACATAACGCACTTTCTCAAATCAAAGGAATCTGGTACACAAAGTCTATTCTGAAATTTCAGCACATTATTTTTAAATACAAACCCCGGCCTCGGCTTTGAGTCAAATTCTTCCATAATCTTTTTCAAGTATTCATCTTCAAGTTGCTTTTATTTAATTTCTTCAACAATTGCAGGTTGAGCGGAAATAGCAGCTAAAATCCCACCTTGCTCTCGCAAAACAATTTCAATCTCATTCTTTTCCAGGTCATCTAACAATTCTTTTCAACTGGATAGAAAACATGACAAATTTCCAACCGACTTCCGGCTTAAGGCATCAGCTACAGTATTAGCTTTTCCTAGGTGACACAAAATTTGCAGATCATAGTCCTTGATCAATTCCAACCATCTCCTTTATCTCATATTCAGTTCTTTCTGAGTGAAGAAATACTTGAGGCTTTTGTGATCTGTGTACACTTCACATGTCACTCTATACAGATAATGTCGCCAAATTTTCAAGGCAAACACTACAGCTACCAGTTCAAGATCATGTGTTGGGTAATTCTTTTCATGCGGACGAAGTTGTCGAGAGGCATAAGCAATTACTTTCCCATTCTGCATTAGCACACAGCCCAAACCTTTGTAAGAAGCATCACTGTAAATCTGAAACCCATCGGTACTATTGGGCAAGGTCAAAATCGGTGCAGTTACTAGTCTGGTCTTCAATTCATGGAAGGCTGACTCTCGTTGTTCATTCCAATCAAATGACACATTTTTCTGCGTTAGCTGGGTCAATGGCTTGGCAAGTTTTGAAAAGGCTTTCACAAATCTCCTGTAGTAACCTGCAAGTCCCAAAAAACTTCTAACTTTTGTCACATTTGTCGGTTTAAGCCAGTCCACAATAGCTTCAATTTTCTATAGGTCAACAGATATACCATCCTTATTGATTACATGCCCCAAAAATGCCACATTGTCAAGTCAGAACTCACATTTGGACAATTTAGCGTATAATTTCTTTTCTCTCAAAGTCTGTAGAGCAGTTCTCAAGTGATTCTCATGATCTTCCCTATTTTTGGAGTAAATCAAAATATCATCAATAAACACAACAACGAATTTATCTAGAAATGATTTAAACACTCTGTTCATGAGGTCCATAAAGGTAGCAGGTGCATTAGTCACCCCAAATGGCATTACTAAAAATTCATAATGTCCATATCTAGTTCTGAATACAGTTTTCTCTATGTCTTCTGCCTTAACTTTTAACTGATGATACCCAGATCTGAGGTCAATCTTAGAAAACACTTGGGCTCGCTGAAGTTGATCAAACAAGTCATCTATTCGGGACAAAGGGTATTTGTTCTTGATAGTTACTTTGTTCAATTCCAGATAATCTATACATAACCTCAAAGATCTATCTTTCTTTTAGACAAATAAGATTGGAGCACCCCAAGGTGAAGTACTCGGACGAATAAATTTCTTGTTTAGCAGTTCCTGAAGTTGAGTTTTTAATTCTTTTAATTCTGAGATAGACATTCTATAGGGGGTCTTGGAGATAGGTTATGTTCCCGGGATTACATCAATGGTAAATTCGATCTCTCTATCAACTAAGTCCCCAGGTAAGTCATTCAGAAATACATCAGAAAATTCACAAGCAACAGAAATAGTTTTCACATTAGCATTATCAGATGGTGCAATCAGTACACAACACAAGTAACCCCTACATCCCTTCCTAAGCAATTTCACAACTTTCATGGCCGAAATCAGGTACGGGGGAGGAACTACCCCATTTCCAGTAAAAATAAATTCAAGCATACCCAATGGTCTAAACACAATAGATTTACTCACTCAGTCAATAGTAGCACAGTATTTAGTCAACCAGTCCATACCTAGAATACAATCAAAATGATCAATGTTCAAGGGCAACAAGGCAACATACAATGTCGTATCACCAATCATAATATCACATGCCGGATAAACATAAGTACATATCATAGAATCCCCAGACGGTGTAGATACAGATAACACATATGTTATAAGTTCTAGTGGTCTAGTTAATTTCTGAGAAAAAGCATGCGATACGAAAGAATATGTAGAACCAGAATCTATCAGTACACATGCATTTTCAGAACATAGAGGGAGTATACCTGACACCACAGTTTCGGTGTTCTGCACGTCACCAGGCATTAAAGCAAACACTCGACCTTGTCTCAGAGGTTCTTTTCCAATATTAGCCTTTGCATTTGTTTTGACTGTAAAAGCGAACCTGGCTGAACTCATCATAAGACGGCTAGCATTCTCAGACCCAATCAGGCAATTTTTCACTACATGACCTGTCTTGCCACATCGAAAACAAGCATCGGATGCTCGGTAACATATACCTCTATGCCTCCTTTCACAGTCAGGACAAACTGGAATAGACCCACTGCTCTGACTCGAACTGCTTGTAGATCTCGTATTCTGTTTCTTATTTACATGAGAACGGCCTTTTTTGAAACCATACCCAGACCTTTTTCCTCTCCAATCAGTTGTTCTTGCTACTGGGGCCTTACTTTGCTTCTTGGCGGCTAGGGTGGCTTCCTCCATTAAGGATCTATCAAGAACTTGTACATATGTAGGCAACTTTAGCACACCAACTCGATTAAATATGTCTAAGTCCAATCCTCCCTCAAATTTGAGGGCTTTCTTGTAGTCTGTGTCTACCATATGAGGAGCAAATCTGGCTAATTTGGTGAACTTTGCCTCGTACTCGGCTACAGACATTCAATCTTGCTTAAGTTCTTGGAATTCAAATACTTTTTGGTCCCGAAAACATTGAGGCAAATATTTTTCATAAAAGATCTCATTAAATCGAGCCCACATCATATTCCCATTGGTATTCCGAATCAATAACCACCATTTCCGAGCTTCGTCTTTCAGAGTATAGGTGGCCAATAAAACTTTCTGAACCTCGGTACAGGGAAACACCTCAAATAGTTTTTCCATCTCAAGCAACCCTGTCTCTGCTTTCAACGGTTCAATTCTACCTAGGAATGTTGGCGGTTTCATCTTCATGAATTTCTGTGTCGGGTTAATAATATCATTATTATCTGTTTCGGCTTGTTCCGGCAAAGGTGAAGGGGGCAAAGGTTGTTGTCTTTGTTGTTGCATCATAGCCTCAGTCAATGCTGCAAGCATTTGTTCCATTCGGTTCATGCGTGCCTCTGAAGATTCACTTACATCATTTCCCCTTGCATTCTCCATGTTGCTATAAAGACACCAAATAATAATAAATATAAGAATAATCTCACTCATTTCTTTCAATTCATTTGCTCAGATTTACATTCAGTTGTCATATCCATTAGGATTACCACACACTAACACATGCAAATGGGATGCCCCTATTTCTTTCTTACTAGGACATCCTAAGCTCATATGGACCTATGTGTGTGGTAAAACACGTGCTCTAATATCACTCTGTCACGACCCAAACCCGCCCCTATAGGTTTAGCATCGTAACCGGCCAGTAATCCTTGGATTACCAGAGGCCTCTTAACAGATTAACATATATTTAGGGGCTGCGGAAGCAAATATACAAAATATAAGTGGTCCATTGAGCTGTGGAGACACACATGAGACGTATAATTTAAAACTTCTATAGACTTACGAGTGATGTCAAAAGAGACAATATTTACATATCACTCCTAGGAGTATAATGTTAGATTTCATTCCCAAGACTTAACAAAATATACCAAGTCTAATATAGTTACAAAAACAGCCATAAAACTTGACTTCATCCGAAACCTTCTCAGGAGGCACAAAGGTTGGCTAATAAAAACTAAAACGTAGGCCGTCAACTCTGGGCCTGGTCACGCGCCTGCTCACCTACATACATAATATAAAATAGTGAGCGGAAGCCTAGTGAATAATAACGGAGTAAAAGGGTTATAATTAATGAAGTCCATACAGATTCAGAAATCATAATTTAGATTCATATTTATATTCTTATTCAGATCATATATAGAAATCATAATTCATGCTTAATCATACGCGGTACATCCGTTAGCGCTAACAGAGCGGATGCAGAATAGATGCAGATCATGTAGCGGTTATGAACAACCAGTTCCATAAAAGAACCTCCAGATCCGGGTAACAGAGAATATACATGTTGAGCTCCATGATGGAGCCTCCGGTACGGGTAACAGATTACAGACATAATAAGTTCCATAATGGAACCTGTAATACCGGGTAACAGCTAACAGACATCACATGATACTAAGGATGCCACAAATACATTGTCAGAAATTGAACAATCATTCATTGTACAGAACATAACATTTTAGAAAACAAATCTTATTTCATCATATAGAAAATAAATAAAGTTGAACATAGCTTTACTAAGTTATTACTCACAATTGGCTTCGGGTGCAGACAAACAGAGCAGGCTAATCAACAATCTACGGCACGTGACCTACATTAACACATAACAAACACACACCTGAAACACACATTCGAATTGTATATAACTTATTTCATTTGTTCTTAGTGTGTTTCTACCCTTATCCTTATTATGGTGTCTTAATCATGACCTAGGAATGCATAGGATGGAATGCGGATGCAAAAATTGCATTAGAAAACATTTTTCAAAGTTTGTTGAAAACAAGGTCCACGCTCGAGCGTGACTTTCCTCGCTCGAGCTGATATGCAAATTGTGAAGGTTCGCTCGTGCGTGAATTTCCTCGCTTGAGCGTACTGTAAACTTAGCAAAAGTACTGGTTGCTAGTTTTTCACGCTCGACAGATGCTCGATCCACGCTCGAGCGTGAGACTCAGACCCTCGCTCGAGCGTGACATCTGTCGCTCGAGCGTGCTGCAAAACATATGAACTTCTGGGTACATACATTTCACGTTCGAGTGAGCTTTTGGTCGCTCGAGCAGAAGTGCACGCACTCAGAGTGCTCGCTTGAGCGTGAACTCCTACGCTCGAGTATGGATTCAAATTCTGAAATTTTCAGATTTGATCTCCAAGCTTCAACCTCCAACTAAACACTTCAAAACTTATCCTCTCGGGCCAAAATTCTGGAAAACACTTAGAAACTTACAAAATATTATGTTTTGAAGATCATTTCATGAAATCAAGGCCCAAAAGCATACAAATTGTTCAAAAATTCAACTTAAACTTTATGAATGTTTCATGAACATAACATGCATGAATTTTTCTTAAGCTTGAGCTTCTCAAAACATAATCAAATGCTACAAAACAACTTGAAACTTAATGATTTCCCTAAATTTAGATGAATTTCAAACATGCATGAGGGAATTTCCTAATAACATGCTCTCAATGCATTGGAATGTACATGCATGTATCAATTGATCTTTCTATCTACTTCTTAAGTTTGATTCTTACATCTCTTAGCTCAATCTACTTGAATTCATGTATGAATTAACTCAATTTCAAGACTAGAGACTTGGCTTCTTACCTTAGATGCTTAATTGACTCTTAGGTGCTAAATTCTTGAGCTAGATGATCAAATCTCCAAGGTTCCTTCCCGTTTTCTAGTAATTCATTGGTTGAGTTCAATTTCTTCTCTCTCTCATCCCCCTCACATTTGTATCTCTTGGAGGCTCAAAGTTGATATGAAAAAGAGGCTCAAAAGAGGTGTATAAGCCTTTTGTGGGCTTGAGTGGAAGTGTAATTAATTAAACTTACTATAAAATAAATGAGCATTAAATTAATCTAATTTAATCGTTCCAATTCGAATTTCAATTGAACCTACCATAAAATTTTAAAAATTCTAATTAACACGTAAATCAAGTCAATTTCTGAGTCGGATGTTGATAAGGCCTTCAATTCACAAATCAAAACTAAAACATGAACGAATCTTTTTACGCTGAACAGATATAAACACAAATAAGGCAATTTAATTTAGAATTTCTCCTTAATTACTAATCAAGCATAATTAATCATAGATTAACGCTAATCAGGGATCGGAGTTGTTACAAATACATATTATCTTCACAAGGCATAAATTAATAGTGCAAAATTATTAAACCATACAATAAATGTGTCAAAAAGGTCGAGAAATAAACTAAAAAGTACCATTCTCATCTCAAAAATAGCTTCTTTTTTTCTTAATAAGATAATGAAAATTTTTGACAATATTAATTTATATAAAATAATTTGAATATTTTTTTTTTCAAATTTGCTAAATAAATTTAAGTATTTATGTAACATACGTATCGCATATCGTATATTGCATCGCTATCGTATGTGTATTATAAGATACATTTAATTAAAGATACGTATTGATGATAATATCAATTTTCTTTTGAAATATATAAGATCGTAAGATACGTATCATGAATCATAAGATACTGACAACATTTAGCAGAAACTAAAAAGAAAAGGTTCATTTTATGTACATTTAGGCACCATTTCATAACCTTATATTTTACATTTCTTTGTTTGCACAAATAGTTTACGGTTTGAAAACAATAAACAGTATACATTAAACATATTTATGTTTATTTTTGATAAAAAAAATAAATAAATAAAAAAACAAAAACAAACAAAACAAAAACAAACAAACAAACAAAAAAAGACATGGTTTGTACATGGGACTTTTTGAACCATTCTAAATGACCAAGTAAAAGCCCAATAATCTCATTTTGCATAGTCTTCTAGCAATAGAATCATGAAGATTACCGTATATAACAAACACAAAGCACATCTCATTAACAAGCCAATGAATAATGAAAAGTATTTTTGTATCCATCTTAGCATTTGCATTTGGCTTGCCATGTGGAACTCACTAAGCATATTATTCATATAAAAAATCAAACTGATCGGATCACGTTTGTCTAAAAGAAATAGACGGGTCATTCAAATGTAGTTTGTGTTAAATTGTTGATCACCAACCCATTTAAAGGTTTAAATTGTTAGAGAAATAGACAACTTATTGTTTATATATCTCCAAAACACCCCATTTATGTGTGGCCAAACTCTCTTTCATTAACGAGCCAAACACACGAAAAATATTATATTTTGGGTAAACGGTGATATTTGACACATAATATGTTATTTGTCCTAATATCAAGTTAAATTATTCATAGTAACTCATCTAAAAATTTAAATTCTTAAAAAAATAAATAAAATTTTATTATTTATATTTTCAAACCGTCCAATGTCATCTACACTTATGCATATGGATATGCCCGGAGCATATTAGGATTTATTTATTTTATTTTATTCATAAAATTGAATGGACTAGCCAGCACTAATACAGAATTTCATGTGAGGATAAGAGTTGGAGGATTCATTTAAAAGTATTATTGACAGAGAGGCATCACATGGGTTTCCATTAGAAATCCAACACATTTTCTATGGATCATATGTTTATAAATTTGTTCAAAATTAATTAATAAACTGGCCATTGAGCTTTCTTTGTTTGTTCAGAATAACAGATTAGCAAACCAAAGATTCAGAAGCAGTCTTCTAATAATCAGAACCGTTGATGGGTTTGTTGGGATCAAAATTTGGAGTGGTGGCCTCCCACTCTCTCTCGTGATACCTGAAAAAAAATTTAAAATTCAATTTAATGATTGTAAAATACTGACCAACCCAAAAGAGAATAATTGAAAGGAAATTGGATTTTAGTGGTTGAAGAAGTAAGGTCTTTGGAATTTATTGATTGTATTCCTACACTTGACACACAATATGATATCTTTCAAGTTTTATCTCTTGTTGACTTGCAAACAACTTGGATTCCAATCAAACTATAAAAATATACTCCTAAGTTTTATCTCTTGTTGACTTGCAAACAACTTGCATTCCAATGAAACTATAAAAATATACTCCTGATTTTACAACAATATATATATATATATATATATGTGTGTGTGTGTGTCTATAAACAATAGCATGAGGATTGAAAAATTATTTCGTCCTCTTGCAAATTTATGTTATAATTATCAGTTTAGATAGCAAGATTCATCACTTTTGTGTTGATATTTTAAAAAATAGTATAAGAGATGTCAATTGATAATGGTATGAAGGATTTTCCCAAGAGTATCTTTAATCATCTCTTGAGATTTTTGAAATTTTCATACCATGAAATTTTCATTTGATTCAATAGATGTTAGTGAATTGGAATAGAAGAATTAGAGAATTTTGGGATAGAGAATCTGATTCAAATTATGATGCTATAT